CCCTCCCTCTGGACTGAGGACAACTGTCCCAACTGCTTCTAGGATCTTTAAAGGCTTGATTTCACCCCCATTCAGTAACACTAATTCTCTGCAAACCGATACCTTTTTGGAAATTGCTATTTGGACTAAAAACACATTACCAAATAAGATATTTCTTTGTCTTCATCTGTAAGATGGGGATAATGAAAGTTTCATCCAACCCAGGGTTGCTGCAGGGACTGAATGAGCTATTGCAAGTAACACACACAAACCAGCAAGGTGCAGCTGGTTATTATGGTTATTGTTTTCTTTTTCTTTTCTTTTTTTTTAAGAATTATTTAATTTTATTTATTGTTATTTTTATTTTTCAAATTTTCTATAGGGTGCATGCACTCTTCAGAGAGAGAGACAGAGAGGGAAAATGAGAAAGCAAGCCAGCAAGGTCAGAACTTGAACCATGGTCAGCCATATGGGAGTCCAGTGCCTGTGGCAGTCTATCTGGTTACTGGCCCTGGTTACTAATTTTAACCAGTTTCTCCATTCCTCTGTATCAAAGTTCCCCAAATATGATTCAGTCACATAGCACCATCCTAAACATTTGGCTATTTTCACTATTTTTTATTTAGTATTTTTCTTTAAGCCAACTTATTTTCTTTTCACACACAAAAAATTACTTTAAACAGCAATTTTATATCACCATAGAAAAAATAGGATTCTATACCATGATAAGGAGGTAAATGTGAAAATGGAGGCAATGAAAACAAAGTAACGTAATTAAACTCAAGCCTGTTGCTGATCAAAGGCATTGATTCCCAGGCTTCCTGTCCTTACTTGCAAGAAAGAATGGAGGGCATTAAAAGACCACCACACCAAGATGCTCTCCCCCAGGTAACTGGAAACACTGAAAGAGCTGAGAAGGGAGAGGGCTTTTCCCCACTGCAGGATGTGTCATTTATTGTCTAGTCTTTGTCCTTCTCCGCACACACAGAATCACCTTGCCATCCTATTTTCGACGAGAGCTGTGCAACAGACTCTTTCATGATGACGGAAATGTCCTCTATCTGCCCCGTCCAACATGGTGGCCACTGGCCATGTGTTCAGCATCTGCCCTGTGGCTGGTATGACTGAGGAAGTGAACCTTGCATTGTATTATGCTGTAACTCACTGGATCTAAATAGCCACATGAGGCTAGTGGGTGAGCTAGTGGACAGTACAGCTTTGGGGACAAATTTGTAAATCCTGGCTCACCCAAGGAGCTTCAGTTCATCTGGATGTCACACCCTTTGCTTCCTTGGAGAGAGATTTTACAACACTGGACAATGATTTGCTGTGAGGATGTAACTGGGAATTGTCTATGTCTTCCATTAGAGCTCCTTTTGAGGAATGACAGAGAGGGAAAATGAGAAAGCAAGCCAGCAAGGTCAGAACTTGAACCATGGTCAGCCATATGGGAGTCCAGTGCCTGTGGCAGTCTATCTGGTTACTGGCCCTGGTTACTAATTTTAACCAGTTTCTCCATTCCTCTGTATCAAAGTTCCCCAAATATGATTCAGTCACATAGCACCATCCTAAACATTTGGCTATTTTCACTATTTTTTATTTAGTATTTTTCTTTAAGCCAACTTATTTTCTTTTCACACACAAAAAATTACTTTAAACAGCAATTTTATATCACCATAGAAAAAATAGGATTCTATACCATGATAAGGAGGTAAATGTGAAAATGGAGGCAATGAAAACAAAGTAACGTAATTAAACTCAAGCCTGTTGCTGATCAAAGGCATTGATTCCCAGGCTTCCTGTCCTTACTTGCAAGAAAGAATGGAGGGCATTAAAAGACCACCACACCAAGATGCTCTCCCCCAGGTAACTGGAAACACTGAAAGAGCTGAGAAGGGAGAGGGCTTTTCCCCACTGCAGGATGTGTCATTTATTGTCTAGTCTTTGTCCTTCTCCGCACACACAGAATCACCTTGCCATCCTATTTTCGACGAGAGCTGTGCAACAGACTCTTTCATGATGACGGAAATGTCCTCTATCTGCCCCGTCCAACATGGTGGCCACTGGCCATGTGTTCAGCATCTGCCCTGTGGCTGGTATGACTGAGGAAGTGAACCTTGCATTGTATTATGCTGTAACTCACTGGATCTAAATAGCCACATGAGGCTAGTGGGTGAGCTAGTGGACAGTACAGCTTTGGGGACAAATTTGTAAATCCTGGCTCACCCAAGGAGCTTCAGTTCATCTGGATGTCACACCCTTTGCTTCCTTGGAGAGAGATTTTACAACACTGGACAATGATTTGCTGTGAGGATGTAACTGGGAATTGTCTATGTCTTCCATTAGAGCTCCTTTTGAGGAATTAGCATATTTTCTTATCATTAGCAATGGAATTATCTAAAATAAACACATTTCCATTTTCACATTGGCTGCCAAAAAGCCTGCGGGAAATTCATAAATCGATGCAAACAATTGTGTCGAACCTCATGACAGACAGGAATATCCCTCCACTGTTTCCTTCTAAACTCTCTTAGTTTACTCTTCCTCTAACCTTGACATTTGATTTTTTAAATTTTATCATTTTATTTTTTATTTTTTAGAAAGTTCATATATTTCTTCAAGAGCAGGGAGCAAGGTATCTCCGACAGAGTCTCCACGCCACAACCCACCTCCAGCCTCAGGCCGCCAGGACCAGAGTCACAGCCCTTGGCTACACAGGGAAGCCTTGGGATGTGAACCTGGACATCTACCATGTGGGCCCAGCATCTTAGAGCACTGCAGTACCACTGTATCACTGCAGGTGGCCCTTATCATTCTTTTCCATAAATATCTCTAAAAATTATCTTATATCTTTTTTTTATCCTAAAAAAAAAAATCCAGTGCTACCAGTATTTAAGTCGTCTTCTATCCAACATAATTTATGTAAAAATGTTGTAAGAAAGGCTTTCTAAAATGCTTCCCAACACTAGCTTGAAATTTGCCCTTGAAGTACCAATGGAAGCATCATCAGAAAAATGATGCAAAGGTGCTACTTCGCATGTGCCAACACCAGGAAATATTTCAGAGAGCCTGAGAGGTGGATCACAGTCGCTCTGAGTGATGTGGAGGCCACCAGGGTTGAGGCTCACTGGAATCTGGGCCACATCCTCAGTGCACTGCTGGGCCACACCCAGGAAAGCTCTGAGAACAGCCAAGGATGGGGACAGAGTGGCTTTAGCACCATTGTGACCACCAAGGAGACAATCTCCCAGGCAACGGCACATTTGCTGTGTCCATCTCATCTCAGAGATTACTTTCAGAAGATAAAAACTGCCAAGTCACTTCATGGGGTGAGGAGGAAGAGTCAAAACTGAAAGGTCAAAGAAACCTCTCAAGTGATAATCACATTTTAATTTTGCTCTAAAATAAAGCCGTCAGCTTCACTATTTTTTATCCTCTAGGCAACACCTCCTTGGTTTCTGATGACCACACAGCAAAACTTGAAGGACACTCAAATAAGAGGGTGTGTGTATATATATATTTTGGTTCAGGATAAAAAGAGAAAGAAAGAAAAGAGAGTATTTGGAAAGCTGTCATATCTAATTTTCCTTTTAGACTAGAACTGAGTGCATCGTGAACATTCAGATGCTCCTAACACTTACTAAAGTGCTACTGCTGCCCAGCTGAACGTGTAAACAAAATGACTTGCTCATGTGTTCAAAGATTTTAAGTATGATGCACATGTCATATTTATACTCAAGACCAAAGGTGGCAATCTTTTAGGAAGTCAAAAAGTGAACACTGAGGGTCTATGGTGCATCTTATATTTCTAATCTCCTAATAGCTTTATAAGATAAGTTATTATTATTTCCTTTTTACAGATGAAAATGATTAGATTCACGTAAGGCCACAGGATTTAACCCAGGACACATATCAAGTTCATCATCCTTTCTTCACTGCCCCACCCTCTGAGGAAAATGTCTTAATAGCTGAAAAGACTTCTTCATTGGGTCAATTACCTACTAAGAAAAATGGCAAGCAAACCCAAGGCTTTTCATAGAGCTCCTGGGAAATAAGAACAAAATCTAAGGGACATTACTGTGATACAAGGAGACAGGAGAAGCAGAAAGCAACTGAAGGTCAGGGCCAAAACCAAAGCAGTTCCAGAACAAGTGAGCATAAAAGGCTGAAAGTAAGGACCTATGATTTAAAAAAAGAAAGAAAAAGCAAAAAGACAAGAAGAGAATAAGTAGGTCGGACTGGAAGAAGCATCAAAAAATCAGAGAGGAGATGAATAACTGGTTCCCATTGGTTGGGTAAAATCACTTCCAGAATAAACAAAATCCCCTGTAGCCCTGACAGGAGGCCCTAGTGGGATTTAGCACCTCTACCCCAAGGAGGCAGGGGAGATGCCTGCGGGTGTTGGGTGCCCCTTAGTTTTCATCTGGAGAGCCACCCCTCCTCACTCTCAGGTACATGGTAGGGGAGGTGGACTCCAGTCACAGGAATCAACCTAACTGAGCTTGTCCCAGGTGTCTATCACCCAGCTCCAGGGTTTAAGGATGGGCTTGCACTCAAGACCAACAGGGGAGTGAGACATGGCCCGAGACTTTGCTGATCTATCCAGACAGGCTTAGAGACAGTGCGGGGAACATGCCGTCGGCCCACAGAGAGCCAGCCCGTAAAGGACAAGTTGACTGTAGACACGGGAGCTGTTAGCAGAGTCCTGAGTGCAGATGCAGTTATGCCTGAGACCCAGTCTACCCCTGGACTTTCCCATTGCAATACAAGACAATAAACTCCATTTTGCAGTGGCCTAGCTAAGAAGCCTGATGAGCACAAGGACGCCCCGGTCTGTTCCTCCTGTCTGACTAACTGAAGGCCACAGACCACTTCTTCAGGGAAGACGGACAGTTAACATGCTGGTGTCTGCAGGGCCATGGCCTGCCAAACACAGCTCCCCACCAAGAGACAAAGCACTATGACATAAGAACGCAGTCCTTCCACCTGCTGTAATGTGCACCTGAAAACCAGGCATTTACCTGATACACATGGAACGCGTTCGCTGCTTTGCCCCGCAGGAACACTGAGGGGATCCAGACATTGATCAGTGCCCGGTTTGATCTGGCCAAAAGAAAGAGAGAAAAATCAGCCATTTTAGCTTACAAAAACACCACCAACAAAAATGGGGAAAAAATAATTTTCTCCTCTAAAAGGCATTATGCACAAACCATTTATGACTATATACAACACACTTAATAGCAAGCTAAGGGACATTTAAATTTCATCACTCAGCCCATCTGGAGACTATTTTTTTAAAGAATTATTTTTATTTATTTTAATTTAACCAGAAAGGGACAGAGTGAAAGAAGAAAAATAAGAAACCAAGCTGCCAGGTCCGGGATTTGAACCATGGTCAGCCATGTTGGAGTCCATTGCCCCCAATCACCACATCACCTGCTGGCCCCCTCTGGGGTTTTTTTAAGTCACTTAATTTTTGTTAAATGTACACACTTCGGGGCTATTTGGTTGCCCGGTGGTCAAGGTGCTGGATCTCACATAGCCAACTTCACAATTCAAGTCCCAGACCCAACAGCTTGAAAAACACGCCAGGTGTGAGTGTGTGTGTGAGTGTGTGTGTGTGTGTGTGTGTGTATGCATGCATACACGCATGCCCAAAATCCTGAGAGGAGAACGGAGGAAAGGGGACTATGGTGTGCCCATCCCCCCAGGGGGTGATTTCTCACTTTCCATCTCTCTCTGTTTCTATCTTATGAGCACACATGCTCTATAGCAAAAACTAATTTTTTTTTAAAAAAAAAGCACACATACACACACACTGTGTTCATATATGCAATTTGCAGTCTGGAATTAGGAAAAGCTGACCTTCAGCTCACACTAGCTGAGGGACCTTGGTCTGAACCTCGGTCTCCACATCTGAAAAGGGGGATGCTATTGGCAGCCTAGGAAGCTACTGGAGGTCATGTAATAATGCGACAATGCCCGTGGCTTCTGGCACACCCCATAGAGTTGCACTGCCTCCGTGCTGACTTCAGACCCTGGCCCCCTTAAGATCACACTCCTCAAAAGAGCTCCGGAGACCAACACCCACAACTCTGAGAGTGATGACTTTTGGGGGTCAGAGGAGAGCAGGACAACAGAAATTGACAGTTGGAAAACCAAAATGACAGACACAAATACCCCTTTCAACGTTTTCAAACACAACATGAATGATACTGGGTGCACGGGTCTACCAAAGCAAGGTTTAAGTTCAAATACAAACTCACTGACCAAGCACCTACACAGAACAGCTCCACGCTTCCCCCTGGAGTAACTCATTTCAGCATTCTGCAGGCCACTGAAGGCATTTTCAAGGGTGATTTTTGGTTATATGACAGTTTCGCCTTATGTGATGACCTTAAGTCTAGAGTCACTGGGCATGCACAGGTGTGTTCTCACACTCACCAGCAGTCTACTTCTACTTGGATGAACCCAAATCATGCAGAGCTGATGAGTTGGGCATCACTAAAACTTAAAGATAAACTATAAAGCTATCAAAAGAATCCAGTATGATTCTGAAAGGGCAGAAAGGTCTCAGCCTTTGCATCCACTTAGAGCTGGTCCAAAGCTAAATGCTCTCTCTGAACTCTTCTCCTCTCTAAAGAGCATCTCATAAAAATTCACCAGCCTCCTGTGCTTGAAACATAATCTGAAACTCTGATGATGGAAGATTCCATGGCTCAATGTTCTCCCAACCCCTCAAGAGCATTTTATTTTTAAAAGGAAATGACCCTTCAGGTAATGGTTCTCTCCTGAAGCAGCATTTTCTCTAAGCTCTCGCTGAGGTGGTGACCTCCTCCACGGGGTAAAATAAGCCTATCGATCACTTCCCCAGGGCGCAAAGTGCAAACTGCAATTCTGAGCCTCCAAACTGGTTTGTATATCTAATGACATTCCAATACCCAGAGCACTCCCTTTTGTTTCTCTGTCATTGCGGCTATACAGGAGTGTAACTAACCCTTTGGCTTGCATTAACCTCTTGCATTGGTGAGGACCAGACAACCCCCCCACCGAGACTGGGTTGGCTGTGTCTCCCTTTCAGCAAATTATCACACTGTGTCAGAACTATTTGCATGACCATCTCCTCCCCAGATATTAGTTCATTTGCTCATTCTCTTGTTCATTGACTCATTCATTTACTCATTAAACAAGTATTTATTAGCAACCTACTGTGTGCCAGACACCATTCTAGATAGTTGAGATAAAGCAACACAGGAAGCAGACATAGCCTCTTCTTTTACAGAGTATGCAGTTTAAAATGGGAGACAGACAAATCTCCATGAAAGTTATTCCACTGTGGGTAAAGAAGATACTGCATATGATTTAAGCTTTTAAAAATTTATTGAGATGTGTTTTGTGACCTAGCAAATGGTCTACCCTGGAGGGTGTTTCGAGTGCACTTGAGACAAATGTGCACTGTGCTGTTACTTGGTGGAGTGCTCCATGGTTATATCTGCTAGGTTGATTGTGTAGTTCAAATTTCCTATTTTCTGACTGACCTTCTGTCTACTTGTTCTACCCATGATTGCAAGTGGGATACTGAAGTCTCTAACTAAATTACCATAGAACTATCTATCTCTCCTTTCATTTCTGTCAACATTTACATATGTTTCTTGGCTTTGTGGTCAGGCACATATATATGTATAGTGGTTTCACAGAAATTACTCAACATTACTGGAAAGGCTACCAAGTAGCACTGGATCTAAGGAGAGTGACGGTTAGGAGGCCCACTTTGGTCTGGGGCATCAGAGAAGACTTATTTGAGGAGGAAATGTTTGGTCCAGGCTTTGAGGAATACTGAGAGTTAGTTAGCCAAGGAGGGAAA